CCCCCTCTCTCTCTCTCCCTCCCTCCCTCCCTCCCTCCCTCCTATGTATTGCACAGAACGACACGACTGAACCGCCCTGGAGGCCGTGATGACCAGAGTTATGGAAGCGACCAACAAGAAGTCGAGAGCCGCGAGTAGCTTTTCATATAGACTACGTAACTGACGGGTTTTGCACTCATGAGGCGACTGCAGGCAGTTCTTGAGGAATGAAGCATGCAAGTCAAGCCAAGCAGCGCCCCACTGCTTCATGCCGAGGGTGAGTCGAAGCGCATGGTGCTCGTTTCCTGACCGGAATCGATATGAATGGCCTTCGAGAAACCTTCGAACAACTGAGGTCACCTAGGCAACTTATGCACTCCTTCCATCCAGGCTTCGCTTTTTGAACCTTCTGATGACGCTGGGAAACTCATCTGGCCGCGCGGCCCTCACTTCTGTGAAGGCCTGTGCAAAGTCATCCCGCACGCTGCAAATTTCTGGCGCCTCCTCGTCGCGCAAAACACGACCAGGCAGGTAAGCAAGTTCACAAATGAGCGTTTGCCTCGTATTTGGTAGCCCCTGACTATTGCTTTTTCGCATTGCCAAGAGACATTCAAATCTGGAAGCATGTCGAGGTGTGCGATGCCTTGCATCCGGTCCGGGGTTCGGCCGCATGTCGTAGATTTACTAGTGGCAGTGGGCTTCTCTAATCCCGGCATTTCGAAACCACTCAAGCTTCTGTGATCATTGCTTCTCGGGTATATAAGGCATATAGCCAGTGCAAGTTTGTGCAGGTCAGGCTGATGCCGCTGCGACCCAGCTTGGCGACAGGATGCGATTGGCCAGCCGGATTGGAAGCTCCTCCTGACATGAAATGCCGCCAGAGCACATCGCTATGCCCCCACGCAGCTCGGCCCGCCAAGCTCGGACATTGTAAGCAACAGCTGGGTCAGGCAAGGTCCTGCAGCGTTGAGGTGAGGCCATCTGGTGTCTTCATCGCCTGAGGCAGCACACACAGGAACCGCAAGATTAGTCAGATGCTGATTCTCGGCTCCGGTTCTCAAGAACCACTTTTGCCGAATCGCCAAGATCTCGGTCAGGCGGAGTGGTGTCGGCTGTCGCCTGATAGGACAGCGAAAGACGCAGACCCTAGAGGGAGAGCGAGAGAGACCAGCGAGGCAGTGATTCAACTGAAGGAGCGATTCACCGATGCTCTTTTGCAGCAGCTTTCATTTAACCATGCTGAGCGTGCGTGATCATACGGGTACGCACATTCATGGATTGGCGGTGTATGGGAATACAGCAATCTTGTGCAAATTCTCTCAAGGCGGCGGTGCTGCTGTCGATTCATGATGGGACTCGTCTGCTGAGAGTCCTGCCCTGCGAACTCGGCGAGTTCACCCGTCAAGTGCTCCGTACTTGGACTGATGTCAGAAGACTTGATAGCCGCCGTCCTGTGGTCAGTGCCACAGTTGTCTGCCATCTTGTCTCACAAACTGCAAAGTCGCACAGACAGATGCTGAATACAGCGCTGCCTGGCTGTCTCACTTTCTAGCAGCAACGGTACATGGCCTCATGCCGCAAACCTTATGCCACCATTCTAGCAGGTAGTTCCCTAAGAATTATGTGAGCAATGTCTAGCCAGGGTACGAAGACGAGCTTCCCAGCGAGGTGCTGGCACCCAGAATGGATCCATCCTAGATCTGCCAGAGACTTTCATCGAAGAAAACAGAGGAAACAATGATGATGTCACATTCTGGACAAAACTGCAGACCACCAAGAGACGACGGCCTGACAAAGTACAATCTGTCACACAATCTGCAGGTTTGCATCTTCGCGTTCACAGCCTTTGCAACGAGTCATTGTAGACTTGAGCTCCATGCCAAGTTACAGAGATGCTTGCGTCTACCTGATCGGGCGGCTGCTGACAATCTGTTTCTGTCTGCACAGAGAACCGGCGCAGCGGCTGGCAAGCGCATTGACACTGATACTCGCAACATGTTCAGGCACTTGCGCCTGCGTCTGTAACTCAACAAGGCGTTGACAATTTGACAATGCTTCCAAGATTTTAGGCAGTGGAAGCCGCAGATATGTTTCAAAGCACACGTGCTCAACTGCCACGTCCCGAAGGCCATCTTGCTGGACATTTTAATCTTTGCATGCTTTCACTGTCTCCGAAGTTCTAGTCCTTGGCCGGAAAACGAAAGGCTCAGCCTTCACCCTGCTACCGCGTGGACTGCTCGAAACTGAGGCCTCCAGAGGCCACACGGGAGCCACCGAGGAGTGCCGCAGCCCCGGGCCTCTCACACATGCCCCACAGGGCACGAGGGCGAAGGGCCTTCGAAAGCCCTGGGACCACGTCCAGTCTCGCCTCGCAGCGCTTGCAGCGCTCGAGCAGCTCGGGCCAGCCGAGCCATGGGACAGGGACCAGTGGCGCAAGATGGCGCAAACGTACTAGGACCTTTCTGTAGATCCTGTCACCGTCGTGCTACATCTGTTAGTTGTGTAACCGTGTGAAGCGTAACACAAGAAACTGTTGCTAAGACCTACCGCATTGAACGATGTCGGAGTCTGGCGGAACTGCTGACCTCTTGATCCTCCTGCCTGCCACGATCTATAAACACAAAACAGTTCACCAAACTGCCTGCACAGAACATGGGGACTGTTGCACTCACGTCACAACGGAGTCAGCTCCATACTCTCCTCCCGCCCGCCTGCAATCTTGCATCACTTTTCGTCTGCCCCTCATCGTTCCACCCAGCAAGCAACCCGCACCGTGAATGCACTGGTGGAGGAGCAGGTTCTTTCACTACGGTGTAGTTCAGTTGTCTTTGGAATCTGCTTAAATACTTTTGACAGGGGGCAGTTTATCGCCTTGTTTGCCTTCGGACTGCGAAGCTTGAGCATCTCTGGGGACCGCAACTTCGCTCCCAAGCCAGGAGATGCCGCGGGGGGGGGGCCTCACAAGCCCCATCTCGCGCTCCTGATGCCGTGCCTGCCATTTTGTTAGGCACCTCCTTGCAAGTGATGTGGCCGCGGGCGATTTCTCAAGCAAGTGATGCTCCAGATTGTCGCTAGGTCCGGAGACTTGAGGCGCCTCGCTCCAAAGGCTGCTCTCTCAAGCGTGGTGCCAGTGATAGCCACGGCGCTTGTGCAGCTACTTGGCCATCACCATTTCCGAGGAACTATCCCATGGACCATCACCGCGATCACCACGAGCCTGTTTTGGCAGAACAGCCCCGGTCCGGGTCAAGGATGCCTCAGAAACCCTCCGTGTTTTTTGGGGATCAAGGTCATCACAGACCACTTGCGGAAAACCAACATACACCAAGCACCTGGTGGTTGCAGAATGTATTATGTAATAATTATTATGTATTACTATGTGCAAGTGGCCGGTTCCTCACTGTCCAAGGGCAAAGCAGCTAGTTCCTCCACACCTGAGAAGCACGACATGATGAGGAGTGGTCAGGGGGGCCCAACCACATGGAATCAACATTCAGAAACGTGTTCTGAGAATGTCACGAAGTTGCACGGAGTGAACCTTCAGTCTTATCGCACAGATCACACAAACGCTAACACTGTTTCAGCCGCTTAGAGGGGACATGAGATGTGAAGGGACAGCAGTGCCGATCATTTAGGACACAAAGTACATACGCACGCCTCAACTTCGACGGCGGCAAGCTGTGACAAGGCTCCTTGGCTTTGAACCTGAGATGACGTGATGCCACAAAACTGGACATGAAAATCCTTCGTTGAGCATCGAGCTTAGGTGAATGAGAATTGTCCTAGCAGTCCAATTATCTTAGACCGGTGATCGCTCCAATGACTCACACTAGCATGCATAATGATTTCGTACGAAAACAGCAGCTGTGATCATTCGTTCTTGGTTGTTCGATGTCCAATAATCGATCAATCAATCCTGTCCGCTCGCATCAGTTCTCTCCGGGACGGATTCAAGGCACGTGAGCCAGCAATGGTACGTTGCACCCCAACCCAACGAAAGGTTCACACGTTTGAAAACCACACTGTTGTTGCAGCGATTCTGCACGGTGACGCTGGTGTTTGTTGTAGCCTTACTTGCTCCGAGAGTACCGGAGGTCCGTGTTTTGTTCACCAACCATTTCAGTCCAGCGCCTTGCTTGAGGCCTGTGCTGAATTGCTCGACGAGATCCAAGCTACACATCGCACGTCCGGAGCATCCCAAGAGCCATACACATCTATGCTGTCACGGAACACTTTTGGCAGCAATGTTGAATTCTTTCCCGCAGGTTTTGTCATCCGCGCTTGCGTGGGCGGCCAGATACGCCGCCCGCCGCGCCCGCTGATGCAAGATGCGACAGATCCCCAACCGCAGCAATCCCCGGGCGCTACTGTGCTGTTACATGTGTGACAGTCTGACATGGGATGCCAGCCAGCAGCACCCACAAAGCCACGCAGAGCTCGCCAGCAGCTCTCCAGGAGCGTGCTACGATGCAATAAGTAAGCACCAGTCAGAATCTTGATACCACTTGCCAGGACGCACTCATGGTCTGCAAATGCTCAACCATGCTCAATCGGCGGCAGGATGACTGATGCGTATCCACTCACAACCATGTGAGAACGGGCGGTAGCACGACAATCAGCGATTGTCATCTTTCGGCACAAGCCGAACCCGACACACTTCCCGTGCATTTCGGCATAGCTTGGGTTTAACTCTACCATGTTCTGCAATGGGGTTTATGATCAGGATCAGGAGCCCTGTAACAGGTTCGGGGAAGGCTTCCGTTACAGCTCCTCGTTGCGCCTCCGTTCCCATTCCAGTCGTTTGAACAAGGGCCCCGGATCTTCCAGAACGCGTAACGGAGTGTGTCTCATCTACTTCACAATTTGTATCGGACAGGGCCATGGGTCCAATCCTAGCCGGCAAAACAGGGACGTCCACGACGTGATAGTCTTCTCCACGAGTGTGGTATCTTGTGGGGGAGGTATCTTCTGGCTAATAATGCAGTCATTCAGAAACATTCTAGAAAGTTCTAGAAACCTGCGCCTGGGTGTACATGTCTGCACGTGTTCTGACTCCAGGGGCCAAGCCGGCTCGAGCTTTTTAAGTTGACAATGACAGGTTGCTAGAGCAAATGGGCAAATTGAAGCATAAACGAAGCAAGGGCTTGCCAGAGCATCTGGGTTGCAAGAGTCTGTGTTGTCGATCACGACGTGAAGGTTTATTATTTATTATGACTTCGAGTTTGGGACACTGATGGTTCATCGCAGCATTCCCTTCCGCAAGCAATTCAGATGCGAGTTTTTTGTTTGTGTTTGCATTTTCTGTTTTTTGTTGCATGTTTTGGTATTTTCGTCTTTTTTGTAATTTTGGCTATGTTCTTTTTGGAATCTTGACGGCTCAATCTTCCGTTTTCGGGGGCCTCCAGTCCCGACGCAGCGCTTGTTTTCTATTTCTTTTGACTCCACCAGGCTTGCTGAGCCCTTAAATCTAAACCCTTTTGGTTTTCGGACTTTTGGCTTCCTTGCCTCCAGGAGGCTTAAACTCTAAACACCGAACCCTCTTGGCCCTGGCTTTCGGACTTCCGGATTTCCTTTCCGGCGCAAACCTTCAACCCTGAACCCTGGATTTCGGACTGCCGGCAGGCCCTGAGCTCGTGTGCAGAATTTTTTTGGATGTACGGCTTAGAATGTGGGGTGTAGGGAGTGTAGGGTTTAGGAAATTAGGTTGCAGTGCTCAGTCCAAATCATTCCGAAACATTAAGCATAATTCAACGTAAACTCAAAATCATTCCAGATTATTCAATCTTTGGAATGAATTTCACCAGAATATGATACCTGCCTGAGAAGATACCCTCTTTGTATGATTGAGGTAGGGCTAGCACCCACGGATACACACGGCATACTGTGTGCAGAAAGCAGAATGAAGCTGCCAACCAAGGTGCACTATACCAGCGCGGCACTTCCCGTGGCTGTCGACGCACGGTGTTGTCCGCCTTGTTCACACAACAACTCAGCACCCCTGTCGCATCTCAATTGGTTGACTAGATCAGGCAACTCGGAGGTCTGCTGACTCTGCTTGACGTATAATGTTCATAAAATGCCATGGTGAGTGTGCGAGCATGTGCAAGCTAGAAAGCACCACGGGCGTGATGAGCCTTCTCATCTCCCTCCAATTCTGCATCCCTCCTGTTTCGAGGACTGAGCACAAAAGATGCTGCAAGAGAGGCAGCAAATTCTTGTACGCTCTGTTCCAGCAGCTTGAAGCATCAAGGCTGCAAGCAGATGCCTTCCCCCAGGGCGCACGGTGGCTGCTGCACCTGCGGCCTAGCGTTCGGATGGCTTCAAGTTCGAACCTCACGAACAATGTGTGAGATGATTCCACTCTGTCTCTCAACCGTTGCCTGAGTTGGTGGGGTGTTCATTCGAGCTCCACTGGCCTGCCATGGGGTGACAGTGCAGCACATCATTCCCACAGCAGACCATCGCAGCGAAAGCCAAAAGCCGATGGCAAGCTAAAGACGAAAAGATGCTATGCTCTGTGACCTTGCCCGCTGCCGGCATGGTCGCGAAGTGGCGCTGAGCCGAACTCGGCAGCTTTGGGTTGTTTCAAGGACATGGTGCCCTCTTCTGGGACTAAGCATGGGGCTAGGCGAACGAGGCTTAAGCTAAAGTTGCAGAGCATTCTGTCCACAAGACAAATGGCTCCTGCCTGGCCGGGTTCCGATCCTCTCGGAGGACGGCAGCTCCAGTCCGACCAAGGGTGCCATGGCCTTGCGGGACGTGGATGCTGCTTCCCGAAATGTTTGCAGATCTTCCCAGGGCCTGCCGTGGCATTGCTGCGCTGTGACTTGTGCTGGGCCTGGCCATTCTTTCTGGCGCGTGGCGCGCTCTCAGCCGCTTTGGTGCGGCTGACACTTTCCTTATCTTTCCTTGCCCTGGCCTGCGTGCCGCGCATTGACATACTACCACCAACCTCAAAGACCAGCAACATATGCAGTACACAACAGCACTAACCGTCACTAACAGCAATGTTCAGCAGAAAGCTTTTCTGCCTGTGGACAATGCTGCCTAGTACAATTCGGCTGAGCCGACGGCCCCAGAGTCTGCTTCCGATTGCGGCCTCTGCAACTCATCTGATGTGTGTGTTTGTGTGTGAGAGGCAAGCATTTACAGCTCCTTCTCCGTAAGCGACAATCAAAGGACACTTCCGGGAGTGCCTTTGTTGCCGCCCCTGCCCCATCACATCGTGAGGCCTCGCTCCGCGATCGAACTGCGGCCCATTTGAAGACGGTGTCTTGCGGCAACTTTGCAACGACGTGTCTGAGGGCAACACCTACAAGCCACACGTATGGCAACTCCGCAAGGCTGCGATGTTTTGGCGGCTGGACGTGGCGTGGCTTAGCTCAGCGTCGTCATGCAATGCCGTTCATTCCACCTTCGTCGATTTTTCTTTGCGTGCACATGTGTTGATTCTCCTCTGTGTCATGCGATGGCTGCTGTTTCAGAGCCCTAGGATTAAACAATTGCAGACATAGTGTTTTTCAGTGAAGGCTTCGTGCGACAGCTCCGCGGTGGCTGCGTCAGCGAACAAGACCTTGAACTGCTGCCGATGACAATTATAACATCACTTTCCAAGCTGCAAAAGATACCGCCATCAAGACTCGACACGACGAAAAGCGTTGCATACTGTGCTGTGGAGCTCTGCACTCTGGGTACACCTCTGCCTCGGAGGTCGAAAGTGCCTGCAGCTGTCTGTTGTCACTGGCAGATCAGATTTCAGGATCAGCATGGGAGGGCAGATGGGCATCAACATCAGAAACACCCTGCTCCTGCAAAGCCCTGTTCAAGAGCATTGCGGCCAACACACATCGCCAAGCGAAGCAGCGGCACCTGCGGCTGGGTCACCGGGTCCCGACTCGCAGGCCTTGGCCGCCTTGAAGGCGCCTCTGTCAGGGACCCGCCAGGCCCCGGCTCTCCGCGAGGCTCGGGGAGCGGCTGAGTGCTCCACACTTCGAAGGTGCGAGTCGCCGCGGTGGAAGCCGTGGTCCACGCCGCATTGATGCAGCCGTGGTGCTGCCAGAGAACAGCTAGCAGCTAGCGCTGGTGGATGTTGCTTTCTTCTGAACACGCGTGTTCCATGAAGGAACAGATGCCTTCGACTGATGGCAATGACACTGTAGCAATGCATGCGACATTCAAACGAGCAAGCGAAATCAGCTTGTTTAGGATGCCAAATCACACAGTATTCCGAGCAGACTCAGTATGTTGCCCTCCAGCTCGAAAGAAGCTCCGGATGATCTGCGCCCGACCTGGTTCGCTATCCAGCAGTCAGCTGAAAGGCGACAGAGCTGAAGCTTACATGAAACACCACCAGCGCCAGGATGAAAGACTAAGCCAGTCACGCTCCCCACTCAGGTGACTGTGGTCTTGCTGTTTCGGCTCTCTTGGCCTTGAGACACATGGAAGATAAGTGACAGTGAAGCACAACTGGACCATACTGGACCTACTGAGACCCACTGCCAACCGGAGGCCCGACAGCATGCAATCGGGTATCATCGTGCAAGACCGCGATTAGCTTGTATGAACACTTCCGGTGAGAAACTCAGGCGGTCCAACAGCGCAGAAGCACGCTCACAAACGACTTTTAATCGCGATACCTGAGCTTCGGTAAACTACGTGCCACGGCAAAAGGGGCCCCTCGAGAGGAAACGCCAAGCACCGGCGAGTGCATTCCTGAAGGAGCTTAGCCTACACAAATCACAGCTCCCCGAAATCTGCTTCTGGAATGCTCTGTACACACTAACGGCGGTTGTAGCCAAGTCGTTCTCGCTCATCTTTCTTGTCCCTGAGAGCCTGCGCCATCTCGACGACTTGATATTCGCCGGAATCAAGTAGTTGATATAACGAGTCCATGCTGGCGTTCTTTTTGGTGAGCCGGTCGATGGCCATTTGTGGGTGAGGAACCCACTTCACTTTTCCCCGGATCGAGTTCATACTTTGGCGTATGACTTGTATCTCAAGACCTGTGCGTTTATCTTGAGAAGGACCAACGCTTTCGCGTGATAGATGGTCATACAACGCTTTGGCGTCCACCATACAAAGCGCCTCTTTGAAATCAGAAGAGCACTCGTCAGACACCATTGCGAGAACTTTGTTGCGAGCCATACGGGCTTCCCACTGCTCAACCGTGAACTCCGGGTCCGTGATCTCGTTGTAGACGGACATAATCCAGCATAGTTCTCCGAGTCCTTTCGAGAGGCTCTGAGTCTCGGCTGCCAAGGTCGAGTTGACAACACGCTGAATCCTGCCACTCCGCCATGTAATCAAGAAGCAGGGAACCCTAAATCCCTTCTGGAGGTCCTCGTGGAACGCGATAACCCCAAAAGCACCTTGACTTCTTCCATCTCCAGCGTTGTCGAATGATGCATCGGTCATCACTCCCCAAGCTAGCCGATCAGGATCAATTGATCGTATCTTAATGCTCAAATCCGGGCGTGCCTTGATCATCTTGCCGAACTTGTACTTGGTCATGAGCTCATCCATTTTCTGGTAGTGAAGGCTACTGCCGAAGTTGAAGAGGTCATCTACTTCTACAGCAATTGCCCCCTGCAGTTTGCCCTCTGCATGTAACAGATACACTGTCGGATCCAAAACACTTTCGCGGTATCCGAGAGCAATAATGCTCTCTTTCAACGATTTCCGCCAGTGGAGTGGGGCGTCTGGCAGGCCGTAACAGCCTGCCACGATCTCGATGATCTGTTCTTCGTGGAGGCCGGCAATGCCTCCTTTCGGCTGCATCGCGTACAGCTTGCCCTCGGTCCTCTGCAACGGCAAGCTCTGACAAAACGCATTTTTTAAATCGCCGGCACTTGCTTTGTACTTCATCGAGGCACACGCTTGCAAGAGCACACCGAACGTAGTCGAGCATAGCGTTGGAGCAAATCTTTCGAGTGTCAACAAGTCTGGATCGCGATCTCCACGAATGCACCAGCGTGACTTCCTGACGTCCGGTTCCCCAGGTTGTTCGGATGGCTTCATGCGGCGCACCATCCTCGATGGCATTATTCTGTTCAGCTTCCCTTGCGCCGCCAAATTGGCGCGAACCTCCCTAGATTCCTTGACATCCAGGACGCGGACTGCACCAGTGGCCACAACCTTAGACCACTCTTGAAGATCTGTTTCACGCCACCCCGGCCTGTCCTCCTCCTTGATTTCATGATCAAAGATCTCTCCCTGGCCGCGTGGTTTGCCTCCAGCAAAAACCTTGCAATCTATCGGCTTGGAGCTGAACACAGTGAACCCAGTCCAAGTGTATCCAACTTTGGCTGCGGCCTTGCCCTTTCTAACCCAATTGTCCTGCAACGTCTTCACCTCGCCCTCGTCGTTGATCATATAGGTGTTGCGGTACTTCAATCTTCTGGGCATCAGGGCTCCCTTGACTTTGTTGGGATGGCATAGTTCGTCCCGAGGTTCCACATGATGCCGGATAATAAAGTCCCGGCTTGACTCTTCCCAGCAGTCCTTCTCCAAAAACCAACCATCATCTTGCAAGGAGAACCAAGCCTTCTCGCTCACGTTTCTCTCCTTGTGTTGGAAGTAGGGTCGCTGCTCTTGTGGTCGATAACGATTCAGCCTTCGAGCTGCTTCGTACGGTGGGCTGCCGGGAAAGTGACCATCCAGTCTCTCGTTTCTCATGACCTGCACTGCGGTTCCCACTGGATCGGCTCGTAATGGAGGTTGTGGTAGAGGTTGTTGCACAGGTTGAGCTTCGGGGGCTCGTGATCCTAACGATGAGTTCCTCGTCATACTCTCGCAGGAACTGGTACTTGAGCGGGATCACGTACTCGAGGTCGCTGAGCTGGAGGCTCCATTGACCAGCTTGGTCCTGGAGGCTGTGGTTCATCGGAAGGCATCTCCTCTTCCGGCACCGCATCCTCAGTCATGTCTTTGTACGATCTTTTGGTGCTCGATCGCCCAAGCTCCTCCTTGAGAGCCTCGAGCTCACCAGCTGTTCCTCGCTTGTTGCGGGTCTGCACTGCTCCATGCTGACTTTCCACAGCTCTCCCTTCATTGAAACCCAAACATTTGGACCTTCAACTGCAAGGACAATTCCAGGTCCAACCCACATTGGCTTCTTACCTTCATGACTTTCTGGAGTAACGGCATGCTTTCTCTTGCGCTCACGGGGCTGGCGAAAGACATACACTGTCTCTCCCACGACAAAATGCAGTGCTTTCCGGGGCCTAGCATTCCGAGCTTTGGTCAGCGCCGTCTCGGTCTGTGTTTTCATATAGGCTTCTTGGGCACATTGTCGTATCTCCAGAAGCCTTTTCATCTCCTCACCGGCGCTTTTTGCACCACCATGTGTGGATCTATCGCGCCGTCAGAAAGCAATGATCCCGGAAGTCGTAAAGAATGTCCAAGTTGACGCTGCATGGGAGAATATCCACTTCTGTTGTTGTAGCGATTCTTTGCAGACTCAACTTCCAGCATGAGGGACTTCAGTTCCTCCCAGGAGCTGATCTGAGCCATGTCGCGAGCTTTTTCTAGGATCGTTTTGAAATGCGATCCGGCTCGCTCTGTTTTTCCTGCTTGCCAGGGTGACCGTGCGCCTGTATGGCGCACAAGCGCTCCTGCTTGGGCTGCCTGGTCGGCAAAGTCTCCGCGGAATTCGGTGCCCAAGTCAGGGATCAGGATTTCGGGGATGCCAAATGTACGTCCCCATACACGAAGGAAGGTGCGCCAGGTGTGATCAGCATCGACACTTCGAAGCCGTTCCACCATCTGATATCCCGTTCCCCAATCGCAAATGTTGAGGCAGGCGAAGCTGTCTCGAGGATCCAGAGCTCGAAGGTAAATCACGTCGACTCCCGCTACCTTCCTCGGCTCGTACGATCTCGGTAACACTGCCGGTCTGGCTGATTTCGGCTTCGGTCTTGCCTCACAAACTTCACAACGAAATTCCTTCGCCATGTAGCGAACCAGATGTGGCTTTGCCCTCGCCAACCTTAGCGATCTGGCAAGTTCCTTGGGCCCGGGATGACCCAAATTCTGATGAAGCTTCTTGAGCAGCCTGATCTCCTCGTTGGTGGGGCGCATCTCTTCATGTACATGCGGCTGGCTCACTCCCAACCTCTCGTCAGCTTCATTGTTCTCGTCCTCCTCAACGAACACCTCAAGGTCATAGCCCTCACTCTGACGAGTTGATCCATCAAACATCTGGTACACATGATTCCTGGGCAACTGAAAACCGAGCTGCTTGAGCGTCTTCAAATGCATGGGCTCAATCACATCAAAACCTCGAGAGGGATAAGCACTGAGCACATAGCGACAGCCTGTCCAGGGCTGCGACCCAGGCCACAACTTCGGGTCAATCTCTCTGAGCTTGTACTTGATGTCGACATGCTTCACAGCAATCGTTTGACCATCAGGAAGCTTCTTTCTTGATGAACCCGGCAATTTGTGGACATCTTGAACCCATACTTCACCCTTCTTGTACTTGCCAAGCCCAAGAACGTAGTTCCGAGGACCCGTTCGATTATGAAGATCTCGATGAGGTAGAGAACCTGCGTTGAGCCCGACCGCAAAGGTGGTCCAAGTAGGCTCATGGTCAAACTGGCCTTGGCTTTGGAACCTAAGCAGCTGGTTGATGTACTGAACCAGGACGGGCGTCTCTTGCGATCTTCTGGTGACACCGTAGTGATTGCCGTGAGCATACAGCCCGAACACCAAGTAGGGTCCATGGTGGGTTGAGGCTCTTTGCTTCAGCTTAGGCTTGGGGAAGCTGTCAAGAAGCTTCTCAAACGACCATAGAGAGAAGTCCTTCTGCGTCAACAACTTTTGCGCTTGGCTTTCAATAGACTGAATTTGACTCGAAGTCAAAAAGGACCCACCGTGCTGACTCTCTTCTTCATAAAAGGACCCACCGTGCTGACTCTCAACAACATTAAAAAAGGACCTCTGGTGTGCCTCCTGAGCAATCGACTTCACTCTGGTGTGCCTCCTGATTCTGACGGAAGCAATCGACTTCACTCTGGTGTGCCTCCTGATTCTGATGGAAGCAATCGACTTCACTCTGGTGTGCCTCCTGATTCTGATAGGAGCAATCGACTTCACTCTGGTGTGCCTCCTGATTCTGAGGGGAGCAATCGACTTCATTCTGGCATGCCTCGTGATCCACGCTCACCCCAAAGACCTCGTAAAGCATCGTCTCATCGTTGCTAATGTAGCACACGCCATCGTTGAAGGTTTGGACCCATCCAAAGGCATCACCTGCAACATCGAGTGGCTGGGCACCCAACTCGCAAAGCATCACAAAGGACTTGCCACGCGCTGCTTGCCACTCGGCGATATCGCTCGCCATCTCACAAGACTCTCGTCCTTGACTTGGAAACAGTGCCACACGACTCGGCGAGCTCTCTTTGAGAGAACTCCAAAGACTCTCAGAACGAAGCGGATCCAAAATGGCCATCGCCTCGTCAGACTCGAACACACTTGCATCAAATTCCGGTGACACCAGCTTCCACACCATGTTTTCCGTAGACTTCAAAGTTGGTTGAGTCATTGCGTCGAGAGAGCGGTGCATCCTCTTGAGCTGTCCATGCGTAAGCGCCTTGCCCTTGCCCTGCTCCTGGCTCCAATAAGCCATGGTCTCCTTGTCGCCATAACAGACCAACATCACTTCTGAGGAAGACAGGGTCTTAGGCAACCAACCACTCCTCTCTATCCAGTCTTGGTTGAGATCGTCCCAAAGAAAGAACGAACGAGGCAATGACATACTCCATGGTGTGGAGCCCTGCTCTGGGCAAAATGCCCTCATCTGCAACCGCCTGGCCGTCAGCAGCTGCGGCACGGAACTTATAAGACTCATCTGTTCCGGCTCAATTCCTTCTGGGAGTCCCTTCAGACTGAAGGATCGGACACCAAGCTGAATCCGTCCGACTGAGCAGCCTGGCTCGCCTGAATCTGGGCAAGGAAGCCTTGCATCCAGGCCATCTGAGCCTTCATCTCGGCCAGCTCCTGCTGATGCTGGCTGGACTGAGCCTCCATGCGGTTCTGGTAATCCTGCTCCATCTGCTCGGTCTGGATCTTCATCATGCGCTGCATCTCCTGAGCTTGGTGATTGATGTGATCCTCTGCCTGACTCTGTATCTTGAGGATCTCCTCCTGGAACTTCTCCGCGTTCTCCTCCTCGATCTCCATCCGTTCCTTGGCTTGTTGCTGCTCGGTCGGGTCCCACTGGAAGAAATCGCACACGCGGCTTTGGCACCGGAAAAAGTGTCTTCCCTGCGTCGGTCCCTTCTTCTTCACCTCCCAGCGGTGGGCTGGCTTGCCGCACAAGCACTTGATCACATCTTCCATCGGACCGGCACTCATGGAGGGACTGATCGACAGAGGGTTCGCAGGACTTCTCACTGCTTCTTTGCGGTTCCTCAACTCCTCCGGGGTCAGATGTCCCCAGCGGCCTTTGCAGAGGTTGCAGTAGATCTCTCGCCGATACTGATTCCCAGCACCCTTCAACTCCGTCATTGGATGCTTGCATTCGGATATCAGCGCTGAAGGCCTTTCCTTGCTCTGCCTGGCACCAAGGAAGTCCGCAAACTTGATCACCTCGGCATACTCCAGCTGGGTGTCCATAGCCTTGGTCTTCACGGGAGTTGAGGACACACTTCGGGTAGAAGGAGATTGGTCCTCCAGCAATGGCTTGAACCCCAAGAGCGGCCACGAGGAACTTGGAAGCCAGCTTTGAACCCTTGCTCGAAGGCTTAGAAGTTTCATAAGCTCTGCCAGCTTCGCTCCAATCAGCCGCCACCGACGAACCGCCCGCTTGCTCCTTGCCACACCCGCCGCGACCCTTGGTCGGCGAGCGTTGTCCTCCTCCCTCTGCGATAGCATCCGCTCCAAAAGAAGCGACGCCATGTCTGGAAGATGCAGAGGAGGGATAGTCCACAAGTCTCGAGAGCAATCATGCTGTGGTTCATGAAGCCGCTGTTTGCAAGTGTAAACTTCTGGGACTGCAGATTTGCTTCTACGGCTTCACTATTCCAGCCTCCTGGTGCAAACTCAGTCACTCCAACTGAAACATGCCCTGAAGGAAGACTAACAAGCGGCGCCTTGACATCGTACGCCTTGAGCTCCAAAACGTTCTGGTCCAAGTCCACCACAGCCTTTAACTGCTTAAGCAACTTGATTGGCAGCAAGAGCGGCACATCGTCTGCAATAACAGTCAACTCCATCAAGCCACTGACACCCGCAATTCCCAACGGCACCTCGGCAATCCCGATAACCTGCGCTTTCCCTCCGACTCCACATGCTTGAGCTTTCTTGGTCTTATTCCAGTTCACCTTCAAACCATGCTCCCTCAAGCTTCCTATGAGCCTGAGCAGCGCCGCCTTGCCGATGAGCCCGTCCTGGGCCGCCGTGTCGACCACTCCCTGCGACGGACATGTTGTGACACCGGCAAAGCTCGGGGGAGGTACGTCGTTCACATCAGCAATCTCCCCGGCATCATCTAGCTCTCGGCGGCACATTACATTCTGAAGAAACTTTCCAAACGTGGGCATGTAGGACATGAAGTTCAAGCTGAAGCTGCGCTCTGAGCTTTCCTCCGACTCGCACCGTCTGGTCATGAAGGTCTGGGGGCTGGCTTCGCCCTCGCTCTTGACAAAGAAACCTGACCTCCCACTTTGGGATGAAGGAGCCGAAGATGCGCTTCGCATCGCAGCCGCAGCTTTGCCACGCTCGTCTGGGGGATTTCTGCATTCTTTCGCCCAGTGTCCAATGGCACCGCAACGAACACATCTCGTTCTCAGCTTCAACATGTCCACGTGGATCTTGGTGCCATTCTTGGTAAACTTGACGTAGTCCCGGTTCTTGCCCTTGAAGGCCAGAGTAGGTCTCGAATCTTTTCCGCGTCCTTTCCCCTTTCGGCCTGGTGGAGAGGCTCCTCGTCCTGAAGGTTGGGGGTAATATCCGCGGCTGTTCTTCTGATCCCTCAAGGACTTACGGACATCCTGGTAGGTGGCGAGGGCTTCCTGAACGTGCTCCTCGTCAAATATCTCTTGCATCTCGCCCTCGCCGATGTACACGTAATCCTCGTCGTCACTGTCCTCTTGGGCCTCCAAATAGGTCTCCTGGATCTCTTCCTCGGGCTCGTCACCATCTTGCTCACCCAATTCGTCCATTAGGTAAGCTGCACTTTTCTTCTTGCCTTCGTGGATGTTCTTGTCCAACCTGCGCAGGCCTTTCACGACCGTGGAGCGGTCGTACTTCCCCTCACCCCAAGTCAACATCTGATTCTCCTGGGCCTCGGACAAGTTAGCTCCTCTGAACAACACATAGCCCAGAACCACATCTCCAAGCTTCACCCCTTGTCTCTCGAACTCCTTGAAGGCGTGCTCCATCCGGATCACGAACTCGCCGAAAGTTTCCCGCGAGCTCCTGACATCGCCATAAACCGCCTCCTCAAAAGCTCGTGGTAAGGAGGACTCCAGGTGAGGAGCGAAATGCTCTTTCAGGGCCTTAATCAGGTTGTCACGTCCCGACTGACACGCCAGATCTTCAAAGGATAAGCTGTCTGCTGCAGCTCGGGCAGTTCCTGAGAGCTGTCGGAGGATCTTGACCCCCCACTTTTCCTTCGGAATCTCAGTCTCGAACTCCCATAGCCGCAACTCTTTCATCCAACGATCGAGCGTCTTGTCTGGCTGCTTCCCATCGTACGGAGGAGGAGGGTCACGGCCTTTCCAACCTCCAAACGCAGAACCCTGCACCGGGCCGCCAGACGAACCCACAGGCTGAGGCCCCGCCCAGCCCTTGGGAGGCATCCCTCTCGGCAATAACTGCTCGCACTGAAAGAGGAAGTAAAAGGTTGCACAACCAATCTGCCTGGCGCTCCTGCCACGACAGAAAGCTCACGCAGAGCTCCGCTACCACCTGAGAAACTCAGGCGGTCCAACAGCGCAGAAGCACGCTCACAAACGACTTTTCATCGCGATACCTGAGCTTCGGTAAACTACGTGCCACGGCAAAAGGGCTCGAGAGGAAACGCCAAGCACCGGCGAGTGCATTCCTGAAGGAGCTTAGCCTATACAAATCACATCCGGCACATCGGCAGCAAAAGCATCTAATTCAAACTTCCCGACACTGCAACACGTGTAAGTCCAGGGGCCGTGCGCTGTTGCAAAGGTTGTGCGGTTGCCTTCGTTTGGAAACAACTGCCAATGCAAAAAACAAGGTCTACCCGGGAACCCCAAAACCATCGACAAAGCAAACCTCCCGAGCAGTGACACGAGCGTTTTTCTTCCAAGTGTGGCATACTTCAGCAGCCCCCGCACCGCACCCCAGCGCCGCACCCCGTAAGCTGCCCGGTGGAACCGCCCCGGCCCCAATATCGTGACCCGCCCCGGCGGACCCATTGGACGCTGAAGACCCCAAACGCTTGAGCTCCCGCGCCGCACCCCGTATCGCGGCCCACACGGTTGGAAAAACCTGAAGGAGAACCCAACCCCCGACGGGTTTTTGAGAACAAGCAACTTGCAACGGAACTCTTGGATGCTGGTGCCTCCGCCACGTACCCATGGCATCGTGGGGTCGTAAGCCTAGCAAGCAGAAGAGCACTTCGTATGTCTCAGGATCCTACATGCGGATTTTGAGCCGGTGCCCTCAGCGTAGCTCTCCAGGTGTGCAAATCCTTCCGAACTCGTTTGTTTATGCTTCTGTGGGTTTCATTCTGATGCCGACATGGGCGTTGGCTTTAATGTTGGTCCCCACGACGGCTTGTCTCAGGCATATGACTCGGCAGTATGCTTTGCCTTGGTTTTCAAGACTTTCTGACAGGTTACAGTTTTTATGAATGCTTTCTTGAAACGCAGCAATACGAAGGGGTATGTTTCGGATTACTGATTACATCTAGCGGTCAAGCGCTTGTCACACATGTCACGTCCTAAACAAGAGCGAAGGCCACTAAAAAATACCCGAGCCCAATGAAGTACGAGGATAAAGCCCGGGCTTTGGTCTCCCTGAGGCTCTCCCATTCTTGATTCTTCGTTGGGCTTGGAGGACTGTCGAGATCCGCCGGCCCCATGGGCCCCCCCATTTGTTATGGGGCTTTGAGGAGATTGTGAAAACATGTTCACAGGATCACATCCTTTGTCCCAATACTATATTAACAGAGTTACCACCCAGGATGTCATTCTCGACCCTCTCTCTCTCTCTCTCTGCGCAAGGCGAAGAGGCTCGAGACCTGCTGAATAACTTATTCAGCGCGCCCCAAACCAGTGAGGGTACAGGCAAAGTTTGCGCTCAGGAGCAAACCCCGGGACCAGGCTCCTCAAACTGTCCGGGGCAAGGTAGCCTCAAAACAAAGACTTCGCTGAAGACACGGCTGGTTCGTTTATAGGATTTATAGAAGCTGGACTTGACCTTGTGCTGTTCTCTGTCACTTCTCCTGCAACCTAAGCTGGCACAAAAGGAACTGCCCAGATTGGCGGGTGAGGTGCTATGAAAAGAATCGCCTCTTCCCATCGCAAACCTCGATGCACTATGGCAACTACTCACTTCATTGAGGTTTGAGGCACCCGACTCAACAATTAGATTTTATAGTTTTAGAGTGCGAAGTATCAAGGCTGTCTGGCAAACGCATGTGCCTGGTCGGCAAAGAAGCAATCCGGTGGCATTTTACATGCCGTTGAGGCAGCGTGACTGCATACGTTCCTGGCATTCGGTGCGAGCATACATCATAAATGCATCAAATCCGAGCCAGCATCGGACTGCACGCGGGGGTCCAGAACTTGGCACATCTCTATCGACAAAAGAACCACGCATGGCGATACTGCTTCAAGAGACCGAGCCCCCTTACGCACTCGTTGCAGTCTGCCTGGCCCCAACGCAGAAGAAGTCCTTCCGAGGCAACACTCGATCACACAGCACCGCTCTGTCGTGCGTCTTGCCTATATTTGCCTCGTGAAGCGTGCAACATCGTGTACCGATCGCTTACACTCGACTCTCAGTCAACATTTTGCAGTACATACAGCTGGATGACGATTTTGAGATGTCAAGCGATTTGGCGGCGAAGGTAGATCACCCCAAAATACGCACCGCACTCTGGCAACGGCACGCTTCACCAAACATATGCGAGCGCCAAACAATCAAGCACTGAGGTCTACATGGTGTAGTCCGCCGTGGGTGGACGGCCTACAGCCTGTGGGAGCCACGAAACCTCTGGCAGCCTGACCCATCCTTACAAAGCACGGTGTTACCTTCTCTCTCGACCCACAGGCTCCGAGCCTCCCAGGCTCCGAGAAGCTGCGCTGGGCACTTCCGAATCGCACCTTGCAGAGGCTTGGGCACAACGAGCAGGACTGGAACTCACTTCGCAGTGTGAATGCTCGCTTTCACAATCCAGGTCCTCCCAAAGCCTTAAGCTTTCGCCAGCAGATCGCTGCAGCATGCCGTTGGACCATGTGATTAGACGTACGTGTCATGCTGTATCATGATTAGCGCAACTGGCATCTGAAGTCAGCAGAAAAGGCAACATGGGACGCTTGCATGGCCCGACTTCGGGTCACAAGCAGAAGCCCTGCCCTCCAGCCTACCCAGATCGACTCTGATAGACTACAGCTGTGTACGAGTGTGCCACACCTGCAGCACATTTTGCCTGTCGCCTGCCGTGGTGAATGGATGTGGATGCTGTGGCAAATGTCGGTGCAATAGCATGTTTGCCCTGCCAACGGCCAAGGCAACCACTTGAAGGAAAGCTGCAGCAGGTTTACTCGTACTGCCGGGGAAACAGCTCGCGGCTCGATTGGAGATGCGATAAAGGCACGGTTCGTGCAGAGGACGGCTTCGAAGGTTCATACCTCAGTTGAACTGTGCAATGGCCGCACGCAGTGGCAAAGGAAGACTGCCTTATTGCAACCTTTCTTCGGCAGTCGCTTGGCAAACCTTGAGGCTGCTACGTGTGGGGATCAGGCCTCGAAGCAAGCAACGCCAGCTCACATGCGACTGCATCCTGTAGCACATACCGGAACGAATGCATGGATGCCAAGAACATAAAGAATCCATGCACCGACTATCTATCAAACAACCAGCCGGATTTTTCATGATTCGTCGTCACTTGTGGCCTGAGCTCCAGCTTCGTTTCCTCCGGACGATGGCCGTTCAGGCACCTCATTCTGGACATGAAGCACATGTGACAGCCGCAAACCCGACGGCGATGCTGCATCACACGATTGGAGCAAGTGAGCAAGTGGACTCGCGAGGGGCACCCCTGCAGGTATTGTTTCATGACCAAGGACAATCCCAAATAAAGCCATGAAGTGAGACCGGCAACAGTAGCTGGCTAGCCAAATTCGGCTGCCTGCATGACAGCAACTTCTCATCAGCTCGGAAGGCATCACTCAACACAATACTCATGGGGAGTGCAGTGGACGAGCACTGACTGCGCACTTTCAAACGAAATCAATACCGTTCAACTTCTATGCTGATGCATAGCAGGTTTCAACTTTCTTCGGTTGGCCATATTGGTTACTTGAAGTTGCCGGCAAGCGATTTGCAGCCGCTTCTTGAAGAATGCCACTAATGACACAAATGAAGATGCTGCAAACGCTTCGGAGCGGGCTCGAAATGCTCGAATCTCATAACGTGCTTCGCGGCCATGATTTTGCTGCATGCACCCGAGTCATATTGTGCGGTAGCTAGTGCCGCTTGGTGATCCGAGAGTCACTGTTGCAAGAGTCTTGTCGCGGCACATCCTGAAGCTTCTCAGGCCAGCCAACACCATTGTCCCTTATCACAGCACGCAGTCGCAGCTGATATCAACACAAACAACGCAACGCATGCGTTATCATCTCATCACCAGCTCAACTCTCAAGTGGACATACAAATTGCAAGCAGAAAGCTGGCAGGTTGCTCCTCCTGGTTAAATCAAAACACAAACGAAAACTCTGTGGGCACAAGTTGCTGTAAGAGCCGACGGAATCGGAAACAATTTATGATGCCAGGCTGGATGCCCAAATGGGGGCAGGTATATGAGTCCGAAAGTTCGGGCTTCCAGCAGTGCCGAACAGGAGTCGCTGACTGTGTCAATTTTCGATTGCTGCGTAAGGGTGCTGCGAAGCCGAGCGCGGTCGCAATGTTGAGGGGGGAACATACCTGCTTTGAAGCCAGAAAAGTTTGCAGCTCCTGAACGAGCGTGTACCGGCAGGAAGAGAACGCGGGCTCCCTTCCAGGAAGCTTGAGCTTGCTTGATTAAACTTATATACATCATCCAAAAACTCTTTTTGTTCAGGACCTGCTGGATCCACCGCCTCTGTCACGGTGCTGTTGAATGCTTGGCTAAACGCTCTGCACGTCATGCAAACTCCTCTCGGAACAAGGCAATTAGCAGGTCTGTGGCGCAAGCTAAAGCCGGTTGCAGGAGCACGAAACGCCAGGCGTATCCTCATGGTGGTCCGGCAGGCGCTTGCTGCTGCCGAAACTGTCAAGCGGCGGTGAAACATCATTTCGCTGCACCGCTCAGATGCACTCAACTCACATCCTGCGACTGTCTGCCTGAAGCCACGTGCTGGAGCAGGTGCTGCGCTGCCCCGGGAGGTGCCTCACGGGAGCCATACGTCACCATCTGTCACCGACGTCAAGCGCCAGTTGAACACATCTTTTTTTTCTCTCTCTCACTCACTCACTCACTCACTCACTCACTCACTCACTCACTCACTCTCACTCACACTCACACTCACACTCACACTCACACTCACACTCACACTCACACTCACACTCACACTCACACTCACACTCACACTCACACTCACACTCACACTCTCACTC